GTTCGGCAACTCAAGTGTCAACTGTTTTCAAAAATGAGGTAGCTGAGTTACAATGTGAACTGTCGAAAACACGAAAAGACCTGAATGAGATGAGAGAGCAACTGATTAAAATTGAGGAATTACTGCATATGCATAGACTGCGTCTGTCGAATGCAGAGCATACAAGTACCCGTGAAAGTCCTGCAAAACTTTTCAAATCTCGAATTCTCAAAAAGCATCTGATGTCCACGACTTCTAATGTACATTATTACAAAGGTAATAACTATAGACCTTCTGTTGGAATTATACTACAAAAAATGGGAAATCGAGTGGTGAAGATATTAGACATCAAAGATCACTCAGTTCATAACGGACACCTGGACAAAGTGACAATAAATGAAGTAGGTCGTTCCAATTATAATATTATTGATTCCGCTAATAATCCTGATTTTGTAGATAATTCAGAAATAGGTCCAGATAATACTGATGAAAATAATATCACAGAATCAGTTAGGTCGAAGCTACTTGCAAGCAAACCGAGACATCGTTATAAATACGCAAGGAGATATTCGAGGTGTGGCGGATGTGGTGATTGACAATTTCTATCTCTGTATTGTTTAAATACTTACTGTTGACTGTTGATATGTTTCTTATATGAATTGCATAATAATTCCGCTAAATACAAATTCCTGACTTCTGCCCTCTCTGTGTTTTGTTTGGATTCGTGTAATTCGGTCATCTCGAAATACTAATATTCCAAGTACAATAAATTACTACAAATTGGCGTCGCGAGGGATTTAAATAACCTGGGAAAACTTCCTATAAATGCTACTCCGCGGGAGATTGCTGATTATTTGGAATGCTTCGATGCGTGGTGCATTTCAAAGAATGTTCGGGATGACAAAATACCAGCACATTTCATCACTGCTATTGGGCTTGATGCATATAGCCTAGTGAAGAATCTGGCGTTTCCAGATAAACCCATTTCTCTGCCATATGCTAAGCTCCGTGAACTTCTTATAGATCACTTTCATATAACTACTTTTGAGACGCGAGAGAGGGCTCAGTTCAATAAACTGGTTCGTGCTCCCAACCAGAAGATTCGAGACTTTATTCTTCAACTCCAAATACAAGCTTCAAAGTGTAACTTTGGAGATCAGCTGCATACTCAACTACGTGATCGTCTAATTGCTGGAATCAATATTCCTAAGTTAGAGAAAGAGTTAATTCAGATTCCTTCTTGTACCTTTCAAACTGCTAAAGATTTATGTATTACATATGAAGATGTCAATAATGAATACTCTGCTCCCACTACGTCAGTGTCTGATGTTATGCTTTCTAAAGTCGAAAATACAAGTGGTCATGGAAAGCAATCCAAACTGCCGTCCACAGGTAATAGAATGCAGCGAGAGATCAAAAACATTAAACCGTGTTTTTCCTGTGGAAAGTTACATCTACGAAGCACTTGCCGTTTTCGGGGTGCTAAGTGTCACAAATGTGGTAAAGTTGGACACATCAAGACGGTTTGCAGAAGTTCGAATACTTATGTTGCTCAACATTCTTATAATTCTCCCAAGCTGTCTAGTAAAATGGAGTCAATGTGTCTTTCAACTTTTCAAAATACTCAAGCTAATCCAATGAAAACCTCCACTACAAGTTCGGCAACTCAAGTGTCAACTGTTTTCAAAAATGAGGTAGCTGAGTTACAATGTGAACTGTCGAAAACACGAAAAGACCTGAATGAGATGAGAGAGCAACTGATTAAAATTGAGGAATTACTGCATATGCATAGACTGCGTCTGTCGAATGCAGAGCATACAAGTACCCGTGAAAGTCCTGCAAAACTTTTCAAATCTCGAATTCTCAAAAAGCATCTGATGTCCACGACTTCTAATGTACATTATTACAAAGGTAATAACTATAGACCTTCTGTTGGAATTATACTACAAAAAATGGGAAATCGAGTGGTGAAGATATTAGACATCAAAGATCACTCAGTTCATAACGGACACCTGGACAAAGTGACAATAAATGAAGTAGGTCGTTCCAATTATAATATTATTGATTCCGCTAATAATCCTGATTTTGTAGATAATTCAGAAATAGGTCCAGATAATACTGATGAAAATAATATCACAGAATCAGTTAGGTCGAAGCTACTTGCAAGCAAACCGAGACATCGTTATAAATACGCAAGGAGATATTCGAGGTGTGGCGGATGTGGTGATTGACAATTTCTATCTCTGTATTGTTTAAATACTTACTGTTGACTGTTGATATGTTTCTTATATGAATTGCATAATAATTCCGCTAAATACAAATTCCTGACTTCTGCCCTCTCTGTGTTTTGTTTGGATTCGTGTAATTCGGTCATCTCGAAATACTAATATTCCAAGTACAATAAATTACTACAAATTGGCGTCGCGAGGGATTTAAATAACCTGGGAAAACTTCCTATAAATGCTACTCCGCGGGAGATTGCTGATTATTTGGAATGCTTCGATGCGTGGTGCATTTCAAAGAATGTTCGGGATGACAAAATACCAGCACATTTCATCACTGCTATTGGGCTTGATGCATATAGCCTAGTGAAGAATCTGGCGTTTCCAGATAAACCCATTTCTCTGCCATATGCTAAGCTCCGTGAACTTCTTATAGATCACTTCCATATAACTACTTTTGAGACGCGAGAGAGGGCTCAGTTCAATAAACTGGTTCGTGCTCCCAACCAGAAGATTCGAGACTTTATTCTGCAACTCCAAATACAAGCTTCAAAGTGTAACTTTGGAGATCAGCTGCATACTCAACTACGTGATCGTCTAATTGCTGGAATCAATATTCCTAAATTAGAGAAAGAGTTAATTCAGATTCCTTCTTGTACCTTTCAAACTGCTAAAGATTTATGTATTACATATGAAGATGTCAATAATGAATACTCTGCTCCCACTACGTCAGTGTCTGATGTTATGCTTTCTAAAGTCGAAAATACAAGTGGTCATGGAAAGCAATCCAAACTGCCGTCCACAGGTAACAGAATGCAGCGAGAGATCAAAAACATTAAACCGTGTTTTTCCTGTGGAAAGTTACATCTACGAAGCACTTGCCGTTTTCGGGGTGCTAAGTGTCACAAATGTGGTAAAGTTGGACACATCAAGACGGTTTGCAGAAGTTCGAATACTTATGTTGCTCAACATTCTTATAATTCTCCCAAGCTGTCTAGTAAAATGGAGTCAATGTGTCTTTCAACTTTTCAAAATACTCAAGCTAATCCAATGAAAACCTCCACTACAAGTTCGGCAACTCAAGTGTCAACTGTTTTCAAAAATGAGGTAGCTGAGTTACAATGTGAACTGTCGAAAACACGAAAAGACCTGAATGAGATGAGAGAGCAACTGATTAAAATTGAGGAATTACTGCATATGCATAGACTGCGTCTGTCGAATGCAGAGCATACAAGTACCCGTGAAAGTCCTGCAAAACGTTTCAAATCTCGAATTCTCAAAAAGCATCTGATGTCCACGACTTCTAATGTACATTATTACAAAGGTAATAACTATAGACCTTCTGTTGGAATTATACTACAAAAAATGGGAAATCGAGTGGTGAAGATATTAGACATCAAAGATCACTCAGTTCATAACGGACACCTGGACAAAGTGACAATAAATGAAGTAGGTCGTTCCAATTATAATATTATTGATTCCGCTAATAATCCTGATTTTGTAGATAATTCAGAAATAGGTCCAGATAATACTGATGAAAATAATATCACAGAATCAGTTAGGTCGAAGCTACTTGCAAGCAAACCGAGACATCGTTATAAATACGCAAGGAGATATTCGAGGTGTGGCGGATGTGGTGATTGACAATTTCTATCTCTGTATTGTTTAAATACTTACTGTTGATTGTTGATATGTTTCTTATATGAATTGCATAATAATTCCGCTAAATACAAATTCCTGACTTCTGCCCTCTCTGTGTTTTGTTTGGATTCGTGTAATTCGGTCATCTCGAAATACTAATATTCCAAGTACAATAAATTACTACACCTTGGTAAGTTACCTATCCCTGGTTTCCTACTGGAAATTTCAGATTGTGTTGAGAATATAATCTCCATCCATCTTATTACTGCAATTCGACTAGAAGCATACAGTCTACTGAAGATTCTTTGATTTTAAGATAAGCCTATTTTTTTGTCATATGAAATACCCTGAGGACTTCTAATAAATCATTTCCATGTAACAAAACGGAGGGTACACTTCGACGAACTGACCCAAAGATTCTTGACTTCATTATTCACCTGCACATGCAAGTTTTAAAATTAACCCGTAGGGACTTGCCTTACACTAGGCTACGTGGTTGTCTATTCGTCGACACCAACACTCCGAAGTCCAAGAAGAAGTACTTCGATATACCTTTATGTACTTCCAGATTTCCAGTGATTTCTGTACTGCAAAAGAAAATGTCAGCATTGAATATCTGATTCCCTGTTCACCATAGTCTGATGTAATGCTGATGCTCATAATGAGAAATCCAAAACATCATCCACCAGTAAAAGATTCCAGAGAAAAGTAACAATATTAAATAGTGTTTTGTGCATTATGTTGCTTCACCTTAAGAGTCATTGAGATCTACGGATGTCTTCCGCTTTCACTGGTTTGTAGTTGGAAGCTATTTATCAAAGAAACATCCATCTCTTTCAAATCCATTCCGCATCACAGAAATTACTACACTAACATACTATGGTAAACATGCACATAACACAAGGGCTAAGCACTAAAAAGCACCACAAATATTTATCTGGAGTGATCATCCGTTAAAGAAACCTTTATACGAAATTATCACAAATAAGTCCAAGTTTTTGAGAATATAGGAAAACTACTAGAAATTAATAAAACAGAAGTATCGAGTATAAGGTAGCAATATTTCAATTCACTACCATCGATGTCCAGTGGCTTACGCAACCTTTATGATGAATACTAACAAATAAAAAGTTAAAGAATATATATATATATCGGAGCATTACTTACAACTGAATGGCGTCAAGGCCTGCAGATTTTGCCTTTTCTATCCTGTCGGACCAGTAAATCAAGGGAACACGAAAATAGTGTATAGAACCAGATAAATACTGAAACTGACGCCCATCTTTCATTAGCGTATGGTGTTCTCGATTGATCTTGACAATTCTAGTTGCTTGTGAAGAATCATATATATGCTGTAACAGCACCGAATTTATCACAAACTACTGAAAAAACAACATACCTCACGAAATCCATACAATACATACGCTACCATCGCTGCAGAAATTAACGATATGAGAATCACTGCATACAGTGAAATTTTGAAATATTTTCAAATTACCTAGGAACCACAAAATAACGAAATATTTTGTTTTTACAAGACGCAGTATATAAGATAAAATATCCAATTTGATTTTAATATGGAGATCGGTTTCAGGCTTTTCAATCATTATGGGCATGTTGATAAAGTCTGATAAACTATGTTTAAGTCATATAAAATCAACATCAATCAGACTTCCACGAAGTAACATAGAATGTTTGCGTTGACCGCTGTTTCGGTATCCTTGAACGTCTATCAACTAAACAAAACTATGTGTCCTACACATTTTAAATGACGAGTTCAGTGTTTGTAGTGTCACCGATGGGTCTTAATGAGGTCTTGGTTTTATTTATTATCATCTTCACTTTGATGATAGCTAATGTTTCAATTCACTTGAAGCCTAACTACATTTTCTTGAGTATATTATGCAGGTAATATCTGACATACAAAATTCAAGTTGAGTTAATCATAAATCGTGGGTATGGGAATCAATGGGCTGGATAAAAACTGCACAGTTCCTTTAACATCTGAGCATTACACTCTCAGCTTCAATCTTCCATCAGTAATTTAAGTTTATATATCATGCAGAATCTAGGATTACTCATAAAATCTCCATCAAAGTGCGAAGCGCCATGCAGGTGATCTCTACTGAAAGCATACACCACAACAGGATCACACATTTATGGTCAGTATTGAAGTTGTTACACATGCTCTGCTTATAAAGTGGATAACAAACAAAAAATGCTCGTCTCAGCCTCAACTGTCCGGTTTCCTCAGAAGATTTAAATGCATATATGCACTAGCTTCCCTGTTCTTCATGAATGCCAAGCTGACCCTTAACGTATGGCAGCTGAACGAAATTTCCAAATCTTAAGAAGGGGTGATTTTCATCGCTTTCCCAGACTTTTCGATTACTGTTCTAACGTCCTCTCGCTACATGTTGGGTTATCTGCTACATGAACACACAACACTCTGATACTACTCAAGTCAGTGCAGTGACTCGCACTTGCTGCTGAAAGATTTTGTGCCGTCCGTTAGCTTCTAACGATCCCTGTTCCCCAGTGACAAAGTGCAGAACATCACGCCCAGTATCCACCAATCCAAGTAGTCTCAATTCCAGGAAGTTGAAGAATGTGGTTACCAGTTCGTCCACAAAGACAATGCAGAATAAGAGACTAATGCCACACACTAATTCAGATGCTCACAGCTTGATAACACACCTCTCTCCAGAAACAAATATTCGCAAAACTGACAGGTATAAAAACCGCGAAACAGAACCCGTACCTCATAGCTACCTGTCCGAAAAGGTGAGCCCTCGTACCACTATAAACCAAAAGATTGATACACCTAACTATAGGACATCGAATCGTGGTGACGTAAATCGCAACAATTCTAATCAGTTTAGCTTGCTTGGTAGGCCACCTCCACCAATTCACATGCCCACACCCAACGGGGCCGACCATACAGCGGCCAGCAGTTTTGCTGGAATGACATTGCCATTTTTATTCAGGTTCACAACATGACCTCAAACATATTACAAATGCTCACCACTCTCTACGGGTTTCGCCCTCCAATATAGATATGACGGCTGATACAGTAATGTTTAATTACTGCCTGGAGCTCATCTTACATGACTCAGGTAATTCTCCTCTTCGTTAGCGTCTCTACCTCTTTTTCTTCTGACAGCCAATCTTCTTTACGCTCGAACTTACATGAACACGAAAATATAATTGACCCTTTTGCAATTCTAGCTTTCCTAACGCATCTACAGGCATGGACATTTCATTGTCGTCTGAAGACACTATGGATGAATCTCATCACCGGCTACTTCAAGACATAGCTAAAATCTTAAGATATGACTCGGCTAATCCTAACATAGTTCTTATCATTACCAGGACAGCTGTAAACAAGATGGTATCTTCAATATCAATCCGTGATCAACCCGTAAAACCAAATAATCCTTACAAACCAAACTATAGGAAGATGGTATTCATCCAATTCCTACTGCTGATTAGCCAACCCACAGCGCTAATGATCAGTGGAGATTGGTGCACATGCGAAATTAATGATGATTTCTTTCGCTGGGAAGGCTACTCATTTTTCAGGAAGGTCAGATCAGTTGGGTGGAGGGGAGGATGCATTGTCTATGTTAAATCTGAATGCAGATTTCTGCATTATGATGAACCTAACCTGAATATATGCAAAACATTATGTGTGACACTCTACATAAATGAGCAGCAAACTCTATTATTAGATAGCACCTATCGCTCACCCAACCACGACAGTGAACTGCTCAGTGAAATTACTGCAGCCTTTCATTACACTTCGAAATTAACATTTACTTATAAAGTGATTGGAGGTGATTCTAACATGCCTGAAGTTTCATGGGAGCCCGTCAGTACTCCTCCCCGCTACAGCAAATTCTTAGATGCAGTGGAGTTACGTGGGTGAACACAAAGTATTACAAGGCCCACCCGAAACCACAATATACTGGACTTGGTTTTCTTGAAAGACATCGCCTTATCTACCACAGACATCAGCCAACCATTTCTTGGTAGTGACCACAACACAATAATCTGCTCCCTCAATACCAAGCCCCACTCATCAAAATGCTCTACCCTGCGCAAGACACTCGTGTGCTTCAGAAAAGCTGGGTGGGACGTATCTAACTCCTTCATTAGAGGCTTAGACTAAGACCTTTTCTTTTCTAATAGCAACCTAGACACTATCCTAATAGCCTTACACCAGGCGTACTGGTGTAAGTCCTGCAATTCTTCAAAGGAATTACATCGAGACATGATCCGCGGGGTTATGTGTACTGTTTGTATATATGTGTGCTGTGTCATATCAGCTGGTGTTTTTGGACTCAATGTGTTTACTCGTTGTTTTCGTACCTTGTTGTTATTGCGTAATTTTGCTAAAATTTTCGTCGTGATTACTTCTGAAGTTGTTTCTTGTCCTCCACATCCGTGAATGAATTGATTGATGTGAGAGACAGCAGATGGGTCGTATACGCCGGGGAGGCTGGTGCTGAGAATAACATGCACACGGAGATAATGATTAGCTGTGGTCCCACACGCCGGGGAGCAAAAGTGTAGACAACTGAGGCTTGCATACGTCACCGTTACTAGAAGTGAGGCAGAATGAGTGACAAGCGATTACAGTAGTAATTGGTAGTGAACAGGTAAGAGGATGTGCGAAGAGTATCATTAGGTGGTGCTATTGTCACGTTGCGTTCTGCAAGAGTCCTTCTAGTAAGTGGCGATTGTGTTACAAGATGTCAAGAGGATACCTTTAATTCGAAGGTGTAGATCGTCATCGATTTGTGAGATTGTGCTGTGGGTATGCACGTGGTGTGTTGGCTTTTCTGTTTGTTTTCCATTTCAGCTCGGTCCGTGTGACCCAGGCTCTCGCAATGGCATCCAAGTCAACGTGTATTGGTCTTGATGGAAAAAAGGGATGGATCCGTATTTTGCCGGGGAGTGTCAACGTATTTGAATATTGAACGATCAATTCATGGTTGTTTGCTCAAACCCAACTTCCCTATATTTTCGCGGAGGCATCAATACACCAGTCATCGTCTCATCGGTCGCTGTTCAGAAAGAAGATCAAAAACCGTCAGAAGTAATATCGTGATTTATTATTGTAATATTTGTCCATAAACCTTAGTTATTATGCGGGTTATATGTTGGTGTTAGAATAAGGAATTCTCGAGTCACCAATCAGTGTTTTGGTTTTTGCGTCCCTTAGTACTAAGCGTTTCTGAAAGGCTTCGAGGGACAGTGAGAGGCCCGGCGTAGCAAGAGCTGGGCATTAACGGTTTTGAGACGTGATTGGCAGCCCACCTGCAGCACAATGATCACCGAAACTCTAACGAAATTAATGATTATTTCTTTCGCTGGGAAGGCTACTCATTTTTCAGGAAGGTCAGATCAGTTGGGTGGAGGGGAGGATGCATTGTCTATGTTAAATCTGAATGCAGATTTCTGCATTATGATGAACCTAACCTGAATATATGCAAAACATTATGTGTGACACTCTACATAAATAAGCAGCAAACTCTATTATTAGATAGCACCTATCGCTCACCCAACCACGACAGTGAACTGCTCAGTGAAATTACTGCAGCCTTTCATTACACTTCGAAATTAACATTTACTTATAAAGTGATTGGAGGTGATTCTAACATGCCTGAAGTTTCATGGGAGCCCGTCAGTACTCCTCCCCGCTACAGCAAATTCTTAGATGCAGTGGAGTTACGTGGGTGAACACAAAGTATTACAAGGCCCACCCGAAACCACAATATACTGGACTTGGTTTTCTTGAAAGACATCGCCTTATCTACCACAGACATCAGCCAACCATTTCTTGGTAGTGACCACAACACAATAATCTGCTCCCTCAATACCAAGCCCCACTCATCAAAATGCTCTACCCTGCGCAAGACACTCGTGTGCTTCAGAAAAGCTGGGTGGGACGTATCTAACTCCTTCATTAGAGGCTTAGACTAAGACCTTTTCTTTTCTAATAGCAACCTAGACACTATCCTAATAGCCTTACACCACAATGTCTCTATGTTCTTTGATAAATTTGTTCTTAAATATAATGAGAATCCAAGAGAAAACAAAAAGAATTTCATTCCTAATAAGGTATAGGCTAAGATGCTAAATCTTCAGCGACGATAACACATAGAGAACGACTTATCATATATTGTAAATATACAGAACATTTATCTCAAATTGAAAGAAAATAACGACAATATCCAGACAAGAAACAGACAAGAAACTGCAGCTCTTAAACGTAGCTCTAAATACACTGTAATCTTAAGCATTTATCCCAAAGTGATATACCCTCATAAAACTTATATAGAATTCATTTCAGAACACGGTGAGAATGCTAGTGGCCCTAAAATAATTTGTGAGCTTCTAGACTCCTACTTCTTTCGGTCATATATCTATGATGATAATACGTTGCCACAACCTCTATTTCCTGTACGTTCATAAAAAACCTTAGAAATTATCAGCTTTTCTTTAGATAATATTAAGAAAGCAATCACTTCTCTTAAAGGTTCAAACAACCCAGGTCCTGATATGATTCCCTCAACTTTTTTAAAATACGGTGGTGAAGACATTCCTATTCTCTTTCTTAAATTGTTCTCTGCCTCTCTATCAAATGGGATATATCCAGGTGCACGGAAATCCACACACATTACCCCTAGATATTAGTCAGAC